ACCGCGCCACACCGCGCCCGGCCGTTTTCCCGCCGCACCGCGCCACACCGCGCCCGGCCATTTTCCTGCGCCTGACGCGTGGTCCGCGGACGCCAGAACGGATTAACGGTAATTACATTGAACCTTATGGAAAATTTGCTTTGGGGTGTGATGAAATTTGGAGGGTGGAACGGATTAACCGGATTTACATTGAACCCTATGGGGAAATTTGCGTCGGGTTTCGACCAGCTCGGGAGATGCCCAGAGTCACGGAACGGATTAAGTTTGTATCCCGAGGTACCACTGTATATCCTTGGAATCCTATCTCCACTTCTTCCATCTAATAAAGTAACTGAGAGTACTTCAACTTTCAGTGATGGGTCTGTTTTTTACTTTAAACTGTTTTACTGCTCTTCAGATAATTTTCTTTATTTTGATTTACAGTTAAACAGAGGGCAGTGTCCAAAGATATGCTTCCATTCACAGAAGCAGTTTCTGTTAGTGGAATCTGAGCCAGGAACAATTTGGTCTTGTCCCTGAAGTATCTCAACTTCTGCCCTGTAAGATGCCTCCTCCACCCAGTGCAGGTTTTGAAGCAGGGCCTAAGACTGGGTGGGTGGGTGGAAGGAGAGCAGTGGACTAATGTGATTACCACAGATTTCTTGGGCAAGGCAGGCTTGCCCAACCAGGATCTTTCCAGATAACCTATTACTTCTTCCATCAACCTTAATCAAACTGACTATGACTGACGGAAATTGTAGCCCAACCTATGCCTCTCAGGCTGAGGAAAGCTGACTCAAAATACATTAGTTTGGGGCTAGCAATCTTTACAGGCTCCAGACTGCATTGCACAACTTTGTGTTATGGCATCAGTGACACAAATAAATGAGATTTCACTCATGAGATCTTATGCCAACTGAACTTGCGTTTAAAAAAAACACACAGATTTTAGTATTTCCACCTGAAGTCCTGCAAAGCTGGAACAGTTACAATTCTTAATATGACTTTAGAAATTAATTTTGGGATTCTGTGACTGCCAATTGTATTGTAGCTGTATTGGCAGATATAGGCTTCTCCTGATGACTCCTTTGTTGGATTATATCAACTTTTTTTTTTTTATCCGCACTCAGTC